CGCAAAGGCCCTCCCTGGCCCCAGGCAGGCAGGCAGGCAGGGGTGGGGAGAGGCAGGGAGGAAGCAACTTACCCTCCCTCTTCTCCTGCCTCCTCCTGGCTGAATGAGGGCTGGAAGCGGGGCGGCCGGAAGCAGGGGGCGGGGCTTCGTCATGTGCCCCGCCCCCATACCTCACCCGGGGAAACTGCGATCCCCCGCGATCCCCCCCTGAAATGACCTCTGGTCTAGATTGATTCAGGGCAGGTGCCCCTGTCACCACGTCATAGTAATTAGTACCTTCAGAAGACAGAACGTTATTAGCTTCCAAATGGAACTAGATAAGACAAGTATGCAAAGTGATTATATTGTGAAATTAAAAATAGAAATTAAAAACTGCCCAACTTGTTTTTACAGCTATGAGAAAAACAATATCACCAGAAACTCTGGATGACCTAGCAACTGACCCCCCCCCCCCAAGTTGTATATGAAAGCAAAGCCATTTTGCAGAAAGCCTTATTCCCTTTAAAAGCTGCTCCTGGAGAGATAAGAATAGCAGAATGGAAGAGGTAACTGAAATAATTAAATCACTGAAAATGGTAAATCTCCAAATCTGGGTAGGTTTTGGTTTTATAGATTTTCTTAAAAGGAGGAACTGGCACTGCATCTATCAGCAGCCATTAACAAGATACTGAAATACAAAAGGAGGCACCCAGTACCCGTAGGGAGGTACAAATTGAAGCACTATTACAAGGCAAACAAACTGCCTTTCATCAGCCTTGCACCATTTTTAAGCCAGGATTCAAGCATTTGCAAATCAGTGTCAGCAAATGGATTTGTTAAAAAAAACCCCTCTGATTATAGGACCAGAGATCAGATACAGCGCAAGTTGGCTTGGCAGTTGATGGATAACGGCAGCAATCAAGAGAACATTGTGCATTTATATCTCACCAAAATCAATTGGATTTAAGTGCACAGTTAAATGCTTGATGGGGCAATCTTACAAACTGGTGCACTAGCACCCAAGCTCATAGCTTAAGGATACAAGACTGAAAGGGTATCAGCAAACTGCTGAAGCCAGCAGAATCTCCATCCAAACAGCTGCCCACGTGCCAGGGGCTTTAATCGCCACTCTGGTCTTTCTCAAAACTAACCAGCACATATTGAGGAGATGCTGAAATATACCACATAAGTGCCTTGTGCACAGTTGTTTCCGGGTAGTGTCAAAGGACAATGATGATTTGGAAAGGGCATATTTCATCCACTGCAACAATTGCCCTGGAGCATCTAGCAACAGAACGAAGCCTTATCAAGACATTTCACTGAATCTAACAGCACTCCAATGCAACATGGAAGCTGATGATTAGGAAACATAATTTAAAGGGGTGAGGGCCTGGCAGAGGGGTGTATGGCACAGTAAAGGAACAAACTCTACATCCAGCAGAGGCAATGTACATCAAGTCCTCATAGACACTGACCCTCAGCAGCCCAGTCACCCAGTCACAGAAGACACAGCAGGTCACCCTTCTTTCCAGTTCACCCAATTCTAATTGTTATACAAAAATTCCACACTGAACCCAATTTAAGCCAACCTGGAAAGAAGTTTCACATGGGACAGTCCCAGAAAATGCTGTTGTATCTGTATTTATTCTCTGGACTTCAGATACGGATGTTGTCTTTAAGGCTCTGTAAGGCACCTTGACATCATAAAGAAGATGGTCACTTTCGTGTGTTGGGCCAAGCCCTACAGGGCTTTATATGGGTCACCTTCAGGAGCTTGAATTAAGCCTGGAGAGCCACAGGTAGCTAGGGAAGATGTTAAAGAATAGATGTGCTTGGAACAAGCCAGCATCAACAGAATGGAGAACGTTCTGTACCAACTAAAGCTTCCTATCAGTTGTCAAGGCCTGTTCTGTCCACCAGAGATCTCATGGCGAGAGCAAAGTCACAATTTTACTCTACCTAGTACATGAAGGCAAACACTGGATTACAGCAACAAGAAATGCAATTGCGTGTGTGTGTGTGTGTGTGTGTGTGTGTGTACGTAGCCATGTTACCAAAATGATGGAAAAAGAGAAAATAGTGCTATGGAACATCATGAGAAGAACATGGAAAACAGACCCTGACTACAGGTATGTTGGTTTCATGCACACAGATCACAGAACACTAAATATGGGTGCAGGCCTCATACCACCTGGGTATAATTAGGTATGCTCTCAGCCTCCTGTTGCACCTATCAATTCATCAGCGATGCCTCAGCACATTTGTTGAATGCTAGTATTGAATTGTTTATATTGCTATTTTATAGTCTGATGTATTATGTTATGGCTGATGGCTAAGACAATAAACTTATACTTCAGTGTTAGTATACCAGACCATTTGCGTGATACAGTATCTCTCTTGCTTCACTCCCAAATTAGAGATGTAGTTGAGCCAGGTCAGATTGGAACACAGTTCCAGGACTGTCCAAAACTCCTTCCAGCAGCCATCCCCCTACAGCATGGTGGCTCAGTACGCTCAGGCTGAAGTGGAGGGGTGCCCAGCTGCACATGCAGGGCCACCCTCTCACTGAAGAGCAAACACTGCCCTGTCTGCCACCCGGTGCCTTCAAGTGAAATTGCCTCTGGGACTAGCACAACCCTGACCTATACTGCCCAGCCCCTGGGGCTGGCACATTGGCATCTTCTCAGCTACACACTGAAATTCATCTAACACTCATGCCGACCCCCTGGTTTATTGTTTAGTAATAAAAACACCTCACACGAGCCAGCTGTTGGAGCTGACCATAGTGCTGAAAGAGATCGGCAACCATTGCTGCCACAGCTGGAACTTGGGAAAAGGTCATTAGCAGAAAGAGGAAAGAACAGATTTTGTGAGAACTAATGCTGGTTGGGATCTCCTAATTCTAATTGGTTTAACAGGTCAGAGGAAGCCAGGTTGGTGTAAAGGAATTGGATCAGGGAGACCTGGATTAGAATCCCTACTCAGGCCATGAAACTTACTGGTTAACTTTCAGCCATTTATCATCTTTTATCCTAAGCTACATCACAAGGTTCTAAAGGTGAAGGTAAAGGTTTCCCTTGCTTGAAAGCTAGTTGAATCTGACTCTAGGGAGCAGTGCTCATCTCCATTTCCAAGCCAAAGAGCCAGTGGTGTCCTAAGACATTTCTGGGGTCATGTGGCTGGCATGACTGAACACCGAGGCACACAGAACGCTGTTATCTTCGCACCGGTGGTACCTATTTTTCTACTTGCAATTTTTTGTTTTTGAATTGCTAGGATAAAAACTGGAAACAATCTGTGTACACCCTGGACTCCTTGTTTGCTGGAGTCAAGAAATTGGATATTGGTTCATTAATTATATTCCCATTTTTTATAGAAGTGTAAGTCAGTTACAACAATTGGTGTTCACCTGCTCAATAGCTGTGGTTCAGAGAACATCATTTTGAGCATGCAGCCTATGCAAGCTCAAAAACTAGCACATAAATTGGTAATCCTCTCAATTTTTATATTCTGAGCAGACAATTTACGAGGGGAAGGAGATTCATCATGGAATATGGCTGAGTAGAGCAAGTTGAGTAATTTCCAGGGAACGGATTGTTTAAAACTTTGTTTAGGTTTCTGCTGCTGTACATGCACTTTAAAAATTATTTTTAAAATAACCTGGTTCAAAAGCAAATCTGAACATGATACAAACATAATCTTTTAAAATGTAAGTTATAACTGTTATGAGTTTACACAATGCTGTTTTTCCATACAATATAGAAATAACTGAAGGTAATGCATCTTTGGCCGCGTCCTCCCAGGACTGTTCAAGCTGTTGCTTTTACATTTATGGTTTGACAGTGGGGGCCTGGGACTGGCAAGCAGGACTGCTGGGAGCCACCATGGGCCCCTGGACAAAGACTCCACCTGCCCCCACCCCATATGACCCTGATGCAGACCAGACATCGTAACAGACCACATGGCTTGCTGTTACCATGAATCTATCATAAGAAAAGGATTGACCTGTCTGTCCATCTGCTTTTTACTTATTTGCTTTATTTATATCCCACCTTTCTTCCCAATGGGATGTGGACCCAAAGCAGCTTACATCATTCCCCTCTCCCCCACTGTATCCTCACAACAATCCTCTGAGGTAGGTTAGGCTGAGAGTGTGTGACTGGCCCAAGGTCACCTAGCAGGCTTTCATGGCAGATGGGGAATTTGAACCCGGGTTTTTCGGATCCTAGTCTGAAACTTTAACCACTACACCACACTGGCAGGCATAACTCATCAGATAATAAAGGTAAGAGACTGAACACTGGTCACCAGCTTCAGGATGATTGTGGGAGTTCCAGGGCCAAAATGGAAAGGCATAGGGAAAACCTGGCCCAGGGAAGACAAACCACCGCTACCCTGTACTATTTGAAATGGAAGCGAAGGACCTCTGCTTGTGGCAGGCATCATT